GAATCCCATTTTCTTTTAGTAGGGCAGTAAGTCTGATTGAAATGAATGGGTCTGTGTATTTGAAAACCATCACATTCAAGAAGAATTAGGAGAAATCCTGCAAATATGTTTAATTACCATCAATTTCATAGTTATCTGTGAAGGGGCACAATCAGAGCAATCTGTGCCTCATAACACAGAGCGATCTAGCTATACACAGAAACCTTGCAGGAAACGGTTCCTGCATAGCCTTCAGGAACTGTGAAAGATACATAGACCCTCAGGATGTCTCATCTAAATGGAGTTCCTTGCTACCCTTTCAAAAAAAGCCAGTGTCTGACCCGCAACAGGCCACAAAGGACTTTCTGCTAGAGAAATGATGTTGCCTTATCCTATTATGGGCAGATCTCAGAGGTTGAGAATAGTTCTCATCGCCAGAATCAGAGGTTGCTGTATTCATCAGTTCTTTCCCAATTGATGCCTGCAGGACCCACTTGAGATGTTGGCAATTCAGTATGCATCACTCTTCTCTTTGAATGAGTTTGCACTTAGCTTTTGCCCCAGCTGCTGCCTTTCAGATACAGTGTGAAACCAATGTCCTGACCACTTGTGGTCATTAAAAATCCCATGGGAATTACAAAAATAGGGATGGAATCCTTGGAATCCTGGCCAAATTCCAGCCAGAGAAGTTCTAAGATATTCTGCTTACCTAAATTCTTGATTTCCTGTCTTAACTGATGTGCAACAGTTGTTAGTTACTGCAGTTCCTTCCAGAGGTGGTTAAGGAAGAAGTGAGCCTTGTATGTAGTTCATAGTTCAGATTAAGTGTGTTGAGATGCTTCAGGATACAAAGATTTAGAGGCAACATTTTCAAAAACACCTCAGCGCCTGAGATTTAGAGATTTCAAAAGTGATTTAGGCACTCTATTAGCTTGAGACTACTAAATGCCTAGGTCATTTTTGAACATGGGACTTAAGTTCCTGATTCAATTAGGTGCGTTTGAAAAATGTAACCCTGTTCTACTTTATATTGGGACAGATTCTGATACTCTTGGTGAATACTGCCTTACTCCACAAACGGTCTAATTGAAGTCAATGAGACCAGTTGTAGAGTAAGGCACTATTCAATGTGAGTAAAATGTTCACAAATGGGACCTATATTATTATTTCATTTTCAGGCTCCTTTCGCAAGCACTGCAGCATTTTAGCTCAAGTAGTTAGTAATGGGTTTAGAAAAATAAAAACAAACAGTACTGTGCAGTCCTGCACACACTCATGTGAGTAGTCCCATTGAATTTGCAAGCTCAGGTTGCAAAAGAAGTATGACTGATGCTGGAATAAGTGCACCTTTGTATATAAATATTACCTGTCTATCTGTTTTGCTTACATTAGATTGCCCCTTCCAAGGTGATATTTTTCCTTCTCAGTTAAGAGACATGACCAATACAGCATGGGCGGTCTCTTTGTTTTAAAAGATTAAAATCTCCTTTCTACTCATGTTCTAGTTATACGCAGTGCTGCGTTAGTTAAATATCAGTTTCTGATATTTACACACACATTGTAAACATTAGGTTAAACTGAACCCTGCTGTAACTCCACTGAAGTCAATAGTTTACACCGGGGGCATATATGATTGTTAATCCCGTAACTCAATCATTTGATATTTACAGCAGCAGAAAAATTAGTGCACAAGCTTAAAGGTCATATATTTTTAAAAATTGCTTTAAATTGGTTCATAAAAGCTTTTTGGTGCCCTCCTTAACTGCAAATATACTTCAGAAAGGAGTATTCCAGATTGTTAGTTGGAAATGTGTAGACTAAACCCTTCTGGTGTATTATTATGGAGGAATCCAGCTGAGACAGTTAGCTTACAAAAGCAGCTACACCTACGCCATATGGTTCATAGCTACTTTTCATAATGCCTCTAAGGCAAATTGCATTCCATAGGTAGCAAACATCAGGCAAAGAGAAACAGATTATTTTCATTTAGACACTTTGGGCCAGACTCTCAGCTGGAGGTACTCTGACTAACACCAGCTGCGGATCTGGCCTTTTTATGGAGAAAGTGAATACTTTTGCATTGCAAAACTTTTCCCAATTCTCTGGAGCATTATTACTTTGTGAAGGTTACAGAACAGTGAAAGAGGGAGAATTCCATCATGAGCTTTCGCTTAAGGCAAAAACTTGTGAAACTGTAATAGTTAGAACATGCTATCTTCCCCCTTAAGCTTTTCCGATAAAGCTGCCCAAATTGACCCAATTCACTTCCATTAGGAGGTAGAAAAACATTGTGTAAGGCTGGTTAAAAAACCCCAGTGTTGTCATATCCCTCAGTACTGGATTCTGTGCTTACTGAAGTCAGTGGAGTAGAATTGGGCCCTGATTTGTATAATACCAGTGGTGGTGATGTAGCTCCATTGGTTACCTGCACCAAACCAGCCTCATCAGTAGCCCTCAGCCAAGCTTCATACTAAAATCATTAGCTATGGTACTATAAAAAAAAATACATGTTGAGTACTACTTGCTATATTCTTACTACAACCAAATGTGAGAAAGTAAATGGGGAAATGCCATGGCACTAGCCTTGTAGTGTTTCTAGATCATACAAGAAAAGCAATCAGCCAAATATGGAGCTATTGGGTGGATTTTAGACACACACAGCATAGGGTTGCCAGGTGTCCATTTTTGACAGGAATGCCCCATCGAAAAGGGACCCTGGCGACTCCAATCAGCACCACTGACCGGGCCGTTAAACGTCCAGTCAGCGGCGCAGCAGGGCTAAAGCAGCCAGCTGCTGTGGCTCCGTGTGGCTCCCGGAAGCAGCGGCATGTCCCTCCTCCAGTTCCTACGTGTAGGAGCAGCCAGGGGGCTCTGTGCGCTGCCTACGCCCCAAGCACTGGCTCTGCATCTCCCATTTGCTGGGAACCGTGGCCAATGGGAGCTGCAGACGGGGCAGTTTGCAGAGCCACCTGGCTGTGCCTCCGCGTAGGAGACAGAGTGGGGACATGCCACTACTTCCAGGAGCCACCTGAGGTAAGCGCCGCTCGGAATCTGTACCCCTGACACACACACCCTATGCCCCAACCCCCTGCCCCAGCCCAGAGCTCCTTCCCGCACTGCAAACCCCTCAACCCCAGCCTGGAGCCACCTCCTGCATCCCAAATGCCTCATCTCCAGCCCCACACCAGAGCTTGCACCCCCAGCTAGAGCCCTCTCACACACCCCTGCACCCTAACCTCCTGCCCCAGCCCGGTGAAATTGAGCAAGTGAGGGAGGGAGAGCCAGCAACGGGGGGGGGCGAAGTGAGGAGGGGCTCAGAAAAGGGGTTGGGCAGGGGCCTCAGAGGAGGGGTGAGGCACAGGTGTTTGGTTTTGTGCGAGTAGAAAGTTGGCAACCCTAACACAGCCTCCCCCCCACTGACAGATTGAAGATCCAGGTTGTATTTGAAACACACTAACAGTGCAATCTTCCCAAACAATACAAGCTATTTATTACATATGCACTGACTGACCTATATTGCTACTGTTTAATTAGCATGGGATTATTCTATGGTTCCAATGCAATGTAAATGAAAAGGATCACCAGAAACACTCCCTTCTGCAGACAACCAGAGGAAGAGAGCTCTTCTGTAATTACAGCACTTAGGGCTCATCTTCACTACCAGGGAGATCGACACTGCTGCAATTGACCGATTTAGCAGGTCTAGCGAAGACCCACTAAATCGACAGGAGAGCGCTCTGCGGCTGACTCCAGTACTCCAGCTCCCCGAGAAGAGTAAGGGAAGTCGACGGGAGAGCATCTCCCGTCAACGCAGTACAGTGAAGACACTGGGGTAAGTCGACCTACGCTATGTCAACTCCAGCTACGTTATTCATGTACCTGGAGTAGTGTAACTTAGGTCTACTTAACCTGTAGTGAAGACAAGCCCTAAGACTAGAAAATGATGAGGTTATGGTTTGTGTATAAATAAAAACTGCTCATTTTTTCTGGGTGCTTCATCCTTATAGTAGCCATTTGATTGTCCTTCTTGATTTTACAGTGAAAATTCCAACTGTGCTAAACAATGTTGTCTCAGCTCGGTGGGAAAGTCACTGTCTCATATCCCATCACAACATTTCCAAACTTTATTCGACTATTTTGCTATAATTCAGTGGGATTTGGGTGCCTACTTTCATTAGCTCCTTTGAAAATCCCAGCCTACATCAACGAATCAGTCTGAGCTGATCTTGCTAAAATAAAAAAAAGAGAGTGAGAGAGAGAAAATCAAACCATAGAGAACCACAGAATTTGTCCATTATGTCCTCAAAGCATATTCCAGACACAGATTATCACTGGTAAACAACAAAAGCAACAGGGGGGAACCCTTGTCATGTCATTAGGCTTCTAGAGTGTATGTAAAGCAATATAATAACAAACATTCTCAGCTAGTCCTGATAGTTCTAGGTGTTATTATCCCTTTCTAGAATTTAGGAAAAAAATTAACAAATGCCTTGTTAAGGAATCAAAATGGACACTAAAGGCCTGTCATCAAAATAACCCACATGTGATTTCAATCCCCAACATCATGGTGTTGAATGACAGATTTTGGCTTTATGACAGTTTTAATGAGAGTTTATGGCTACTCGATAAAGCAAAATTCAGTGTGAAGAGTATAGTAAAACTCTGTTACATAACCCCTTTTCATCTTCAGGAAGTACAGAATTATTTAATTGGACAGCTCACTTTCTTTATCTATATTAGTTGGAGAACATATGTAGCTAGGTTACGTGCCCATTCTTCATTGTGTCCCTCGTAGAATTATGCATAATTTTTCATTATTATTATTAGCTTTCTATCAATAATATAATGTTCTTAAATCATTTTAATGATTCCAAAACACATGCAATTTGCAATGAAATTCTAACCTAATGATTCTTGTAATTCTTTATTGGCTTTATCATTTAATTATTTTGTTTGAGACTGTAGATTGTAATATGTGGTGACTGTTTTGTAACTAACTCCAATATGTTCTCTCTTTTCAGAGAGCAGACATAGCTGTTGCTCCACTCACCATAACGTTGGTACGAGAAGAAGTCATAGACTTTTCAAAACCTTTTATGAGTCTGGGCATCTCCATCATGATCAAGAAGCCTCAGAAATCTAAACCTGGCGTATTTTCCTTTCTGGATCCTTTGGCTTATGAAATTTGGATGTGTATAGTCTTTGCTTACATTGGAGTCAGCGTAGTTCTTTTCCTAGTCAGCAGATTCAGTCCTTATGAATGGCATTTGGAAGACAACAATGAAGAACCGCGTGACCCCCAGAACCCTCCCGACCCTCCAAATGAGTTTGGAATATTTAACAGCCTTTGGTTTTCCCTGGGTGCCTTTATGCAGCAAGGATGCGATATTTCTCCAAGGTTTGTTCCATATCACTCCATCACCTTTTTGCATTTTATGGTCATATGCTGATGCCATGGTGCATATATGTTACTTTCTCAATTTTTTCATTTCCAAATTTTTTGTTTAACATTCCATCCAATGCTAAGCTTCATCATCAAACCACTACGCTTATTCACCTAGTAAGTGTGTGAGTGGCGTTGCCTTTAATGCCATTCATGCATTTCTGCAAAAACTTATATACACCATGTTGAGACTGTAAAATGCATAGGGTTTTACATTTTCAGCAATGCTTGGAGGGCTACCGTGTTTTTGCTGCATATCTCATTTTACGGTCATCTGCTTGGTGCATATAACATTTATTTTGCTATGCAAAATAAGAACTGCTTCAAAAACCACATGCAACAGCACTTTAAAACACCTCCATGCCAGTCTCAACTTATGCTGACCTTTTAATTTTCCTTCGAGCTTTAGTTTTCTATGTGTTTCCATTGCACCATCCAGTCATCCATTACTAATTTGTTTACTATCACATTCATATATTCATTTCTCCATATGTACATCTCTGAGTTGTTATGTGTTGTACTGTATGTGCATCATTATGTAAATCTAGTCTTGTCTGATCTCCTTGTGTTCATAGTCAATGTGGCCTTCTAATAAGTGTTGCCAGTTTTCATAAAATTACTTTTTTTCACGCAAATAGTCTTTCTGAATAAGCCGTTAGGAAAACAGATTTGATGTTAGCTCTATTTTAATACACAATACGGATATTAAGTAGAATTTGATTGCTTTTTAAAGTAAAATTTACAAAGCACTGGAGAGTGCTCAAGTTCTCTTGATTGAACAATGCATACTTCAAAATATTTTTTAAATAACATAGTAAAAATGTTTCTATGCATACATCATTAAAATATATTGGTGACGTCTGATAAGCACTAAATCTACATAGCTTTATAGTAATGGATCTTAACTGGTTTGTATAATAATATTTTTAAAGTCAGTTTATAGCTACCATAATTATAAAAAAAAGACTCATTTAGTACAAACAATATGCCCTTTCCTCTTTAACAAAGTTGTGAACATATATTACCTTAGGGAATCAAATGATTTCTCAATAAGCACTCATATTCAAAACAAATAGAGCCCATTTCCATATGCTTTCTGTGCCCCTCTCAATGTGCAGACAATACCTAAGTCTTTGACAAATTACCAGACTTTCATAGCCTATATAAAAAGAGAAATCTTGGGTGTAATCCTAGCCCTGTTGAAGTCAAGGGCAAAAGTTCCATTGACTTAAAAGGGCCTGGATTTCATCGCTTATCATCTAGAGTTGATCCTGACCCTGCACTCCTTTCACGCCCAAATCTCCTATTAATTTCATTAGGGATTTAGGACATGTAAGGAGTGTCCAACTAGATGTGTTATATTTGAAAGCTTGCAATTTCTATTGTTTAGCAGTGAAGAAAAAGAAGTTGATTACTGTGATTAATTTTTTTTTAAATTACGTGCACAACACATTTTCCTAAATATGTGCATACATTAATGTTAGCAAGAAATCTGTTAAATGAGTAAGTGTTCCAATGTGCTACCAGATTGTATATCTATAGCTTTTAGCCTGTTCCTCATGTTTATGCACAATATTTGTGGTTTAGTCCCAAAATCTGTACCAAAACTATGCCCCTTTGCTTGCTGTTAAAGATACGGAGCAGTGATAGCATTTAAATTGCTGTTGACCATGTGTTTGCCCAATTTAAAGGACCGGGAAATAAGCACTGGGACATCACATGGAAAGCTGCAGGCATTATGCTGTTTCCACTAGACCTGTTTATTGACAGTAAAGAGAAGTGCATAGGGGTTTTTTTTTTTTTGTTAATCTCTCATGTGACTCTTTGACCTGTTTGGCCTTGTATATTTTGCATAATGAATTGAATATATTCTATCTTTATCAATGCCACAATTATAGGTGACTTGGAAATACCAACTATACAGAGATGACAGTAAATATGTCCAGCCATAACTTTTAACTTAATATTAATACATGAAATATCCACTGAAGACATCGTTCCATTGTTTTGTTATCTTTAACGATAACAGAAGGCCAGACAGTTAAATGAGTTTTTACGAAAAAATTGTAAAATGCTTTAAGGTCCAGAAACACTGTTACTTTGAGCATTGAGCTGATTTAATGTCTAGTTTATTTTCCATAGAAAAGGACTATTCCCAAGCATTCCATTTTGAATCCATACCTTTGTCAGGAAGAAACATAATTCATAGCACATTGATTATATTGAATGTTTCATAATATTTTATTGGCATTAAAAGGGATTCATTCTTCCATTGTGAGTTTGCCTGAATACATTTCTTGTGTGAGAGTGTACAGCACTTTTAGAGAGATGCCAACGAGCATTCTGGAGAGATCACTTTTGTGCTTCCTGATAAAGGCTCTTTCAGCTACCTTTGTGTGGAATAACTGTGACATCTCTTGGCTAGTTAGATCTATGATGGGTGAGTATTTTTTGTGGATATTCCAGAGGATATATCCCTATACTCTACTCTCTGTGTTTAATAGGATTTGTCTAACCTGAATCAGATAACAGCTACTCGCTGTGTTCAGTACATCCCTCTATGGAATCAACATTTGTTCCAGCTGTTTTGTTCTGCTATCAAAGACTACTGTGTTATCAGCATAGTGAGCTAAAGTTTTGAGAAGCCACTCGTGGTGGTTCAGACATAGATTACCTAAATGGAGAATCTACACCACAAACGAAAAGCCACACAAAGCACAGTCAAATTCGTAACTTGTTTTGAGCAAAATCATTTCCTTGCAGGTTCTACGAATCAATATCAAGGTTTTTTGTTTAAAAGTATTGCATGAGTCTGGTAGATTAAGGCCGTCGAGTTCCAGGGACCTATTTCTTCCCCTGTTAAAACCAAGTGACTCCTCCTAAAGGCATTGGAGTTACTTACAGTGGGATTTTCAAAAGCACGTAGGCATGTAACTCCCATGGAGTTTCTGTGGGGGGAGAATGGGAGTCAGAACTGTTATTGTAATCTTTCGTCAGCTGGGGTTTGGGTCATGTGGTCAAGTTCTGTGCAAACTTCTACCTCATGCAGCTCTATCACACTCAGTGAGCTTGCTGGTGATGTAAGTGCAGAACTTGGCTCACAGTTTAGCGTATAGCAGATTACATGTACACTTGAAAGAAAAAGTGGCGGTAGAGATTCAGATTTTTCCCTGAGGAAGTTCAGTGTTTTCCAGCCAGACTTGCTCATTCTTATATTTTATTAATCTTTTATTGGTAAGAAGAGGCCAATTAAAAATGGGTGTTCAAGAGAAGAGGAAAAATTCAGGTGCTTTTGATTATAGATAAGAATTTGTTTTTGTATATTACTGTTCTGCAAAGTGAATGCAACTTTTACATAATAATGTTGTGTTTTTCTCTTGTTGCTAATTTGCTCTCATTTAACTCCATGCTTCCTTTCAAATTTCCTCTCAAGGTATGCTCACTTTCTGTTTATTTCCCTTTCAAAGCACCTCCTGAAACCCTATATTGATAATGCTGTTGTTCAATTGCCATGTCTTTGTCTCAAGCTCAGTATGAATTAGTTAATACCAAAAAAAATCATTTAAAATGAACGTTGTACAGTTTGCCGACTCACTGAGGAAATGTGCATTTTATAAAACATCAAAGGTTGCTTGTATTTTTTAAACAAGAGCTTTTTAAACAGCAATGCTGCACACCTTGTACAAGTGTGACCTCTCTACAATGGTTCTTGTAGGTGTTTTAAGTTGTAATCCTTTTCTCTGTAATTGTTATCTGAGTAATGGACAATAAGTTATGTGACAGCTCAAGTAAAATGATAAGTAATCTCTTCTTATCAGCCTGATTTAAATTCAGAGTTTACATGCTAACCCTATTTTCCCTCAGCCCTCTGCACCAACCCATGCAGTGAGTATAAGGAGCCTTCATATCAGCAGATGGAGTTGGGAGGGAAAAGTCCTGTGATGTTATTTTCCCGCCAAAAGAAGTTGGCAGTCCCTGCCCAGCTGCATTCTAGCTCTTTGGCTGGCTGGGCTAGACCCTGGCTTTCCAGCTTTACTTTCCTCAGAGATTTTTTTCCCAACCCGTCCAAATCACCACTTGTAGCTACTTTAATGTAGCTTGCTTCAGAGTGGTGGGTGTTTAATTTTTCTCTGCAGCACTCTGGGGGAAACAGCTCTATGGTTTCATCCAGCTTTTTCTAAAATGAGCTCCGCTGTTGGAGTGAACAGAAGCTCATTCCAGATTTAACAGAATTAGATCAGAGAACTGGAGAACTAACCTGTTCCTCATCCTCCAAGAATCATCCCTTGCACTTCACATCCCTCAGGAAATCCCATCTCTTTGAGCAATCTCTCCTCCCTTCATCTCATCACTATCTCAATGCCCAGACTCTCCAGCCCCGGAACTGTCGTCAGGTATTTTATCTTGTGTCTGTTTGTCTTGTTTTTTTAACATTATAAGCACTTTAGAACAAGAACCGCTTACCTTTCTGGGTGTGTTCAGAGCTGTATAAATTATTATATCATCATATGGCTCTGTGGTTTCACTGTTCCTGTATTGCTTGCCTTTCTGACTGGTAGCCCAAACCTGGAGTCACTAGAGAACTATCAGTAACGTCTCCTGCAGCAGGCTCATGTTGGACTTGTTGTACTTTCTTGTCAAGGGGCCCAGGTTGGTTCTTCTTAACCTGGTTCTGACAGGTCCCAACTTCCTTTTGGGTAGTGCTCAACCCTGGGGCTTCCTTGGTGGATGTGCTGTGCTTTTTTTATTTTTATTTTGGCAGCTTGTAATCTGAACTCAAAGCTCTGCCCTCCCTTAGCCACATAGGAGATCATCCTATTGCTAACATGCCCTCACAGGTACTCACTTTATTTCTCCGAGGTACATCTTAGACAAATTCCTCAGACTGCTCCATTACATTGGCTTGACACAGATGTAACTAATCTTTAAAGCTGCCTTTTTAGTGAGCTTCTGTTTGGGCAGACGGGGGCTGGAGCTTCAAGCTTTTTCACTGCTCGTGTTATATCAGAATGAGGTAGTGATCAAGTCTGTTCCCCACCTCTCCTAATTCTGTGTGGGTGCCTGAGAGGAGAAAAAAAAAGACTCCTCATGCACTTACTGCAAAGAGCTTTTCTTATGCACTCTACAGGAGAACTGAAATTTAGAAAGTCAAGTCACCTATTTATCCTTTTGGGAGGCCCCAAGGAAAGCTTGACAACCTCTGTGCCTTGTGTGTCTTATTGAGCATGAGACTGCATTAATCAAGCTTATGCTGTCCAAAACACTGAAGGTTTCTGTCATAGCTCAGGCCTTGAAAGCCATCTCTTCCTCATGGGCAAAGAGGCAATACTTCCCTTCTAGAGCTGAGCAATGTGGCTGCCTGAACAGCCTTACATACCCTTTCACATCATTACAGACTTGATGAAGTGGCCTCTGCAGATACTGACTTCAGCAGGTGGGTGATGTGAGCTATAATCCATCAGTTTCGCAGTATCTTTGGATACCAGCCCACGGCTGTTCTTGCAGTGGGATTTGCTGTTGATATTCCTTGGGCTAGAGATATACTGGACAATTGCAACTTCATACCTGTTAGTGTGATTTCTCCATGTCCTTCTAACCCAACCCAGATTTCCAACTCTGCTTCCATTGTTTTGGCAGTATTTTTATGGATGTGTATTTTGATGTTGGGTTTTCTTAGAACTGAATAGAATTTTTATTACTCAGGAATCCCCTCAGTGGGCAATGCCAGCCAGCCCCCGCTTTATGAGGTATGGGGTAGGGCTATAGCACAAGAATATTGCCTTTTTCTCATCTCCATCTGTTGGTAGGTGAACTTGTACCCACTGCCTGGGGGTGGTACAGAAGGGCATGAAGGAACCCAGTAATCAGAATTTCTCATTTTCTCTGCATCAAGGGCAAGAATGGTCTGTCTGCTATAAACCCTACTGCTGAAATTGTCCATTTCTTTATCACTGCAAAAGATTGGTGTCTACTGACACTTTTTCTTGGATACACCATGTAAATAATCATTAGCAATTACATGTATAAAATTAATTATATATGGTAGGGTCCAAATCATAAAAATAAATATTCTTAGGGATTTTCATATGTCATGCTTTTAAAAAATATGAAAACTTTAGGTTGTAGGCAGGGCTTGGTTTTGATTCTTTCCCCCCACCCCGCTTCTATTCGAAATAGACACTTTTCCTTGTTTATAATACTGAGAGGAAAGAACCCTTAGCTGTAAATGTTTGGTAGGACATTTCTGTACACATAAATAACAGACCAAAAAAAAAAAAGAAGAACATTATTAAGTTTGCGCAGTCAAGAACTCAAAAGTGAGGAAATGCCAGAATTATGGTTGCCAGTGCATGTAAAGTTCCTCGTTTCCTCTATTCCACATAAAACCGAGGATCATTTTCAGAGCAGAAGAGATACAGGTTTGACAACAGGCATTTAGCCACAAAATCCTGTACTGGTGCAGTATTAGTCAAACAAACATATCAGTGACTAATTCCTCAATGTGTGGTAAGTGCACTGTTCCAAAAGTAAAATATACTGCAAGTGTCCCAAATGGGGCTCTGTTTTTCAATCATTTCTCGTGAATTTGTGATGTAATTTTGGGCTACTGAATCAAGGTCATGGACTTTAATATATTTGGGACCTGATTCTGCTTCCACTGAAATCAGCGAGAACTAGAACAAGTAGTTGAACAGATAATTTTGTGCCAATCTTCTGCAGTGTTACTGATCACAGTGTCATTGATCAGCAGGTGCTTTAAGTATGCACACAGTCTAATTGACTTCAGTGAAACTACTCACATGCTAAAGTGCATTGCTGGATTGGCACTCAAGTGCTCAGTACCTTGTGTGACTATGCCCTAAAATTGGGGGGTTGCTTGAGGAAGGAGTACAGGATTGGGTCCTAGACAAGCATTTAGGCCCTTATGCTCAGTTAAGATCCCTACACTCTTTTACACCAACTGAGGACTGGCCTTTTATTTTACAATTTTTTTTTCTTTTGCATTTTTAAAAAAGCTAAGGGAAAAAACAGGCAGTGATTAGATTTTTCACCTCACTCCTGTGCTGCTTTGGTGGTGTGGGCTGAGATGGGAATGTGGCAGACCCAAATTATTAAATAGTAACATGCATCATTTGGAACAGTGGATTTTAGACATGCACATTTTATTTAACATAAAATATACCAGAATGTTTCCTCATTCTAATGTGTAGGATTCAGACTCCCTTAATTCCCATTGTGCCATGGCATGAGCAGACCTCATACTGCTCCCTTGGAGTAACTCCCCTTGTGCAGGCCTCAGTGGGGAGATTATTTATCTCCAAGTCTTGCATGTAATCAGCTAGCATAGAGCATTGGATGGGACTTTTCTGCCCACTACCTATCATTGATCTTCTGCAGAATGAGTAGAGAGGTGCGGGAGTGGGAGGGTTCCTGTGTTCACCAATCTTCTGCTTCCATTGGTCAACTGCTGTTGACCTATTCCTGGCCCCTCCAATCCCCATAGATGCCTTCCTTCATCTACTTATAGTGTCTGACTTCTGGAACTGAAGTGCCTGCTTCAGGTTCTGGTTCTTTTACAATGCATACCCAGGATATGCCAGGCAGTACTAACTGCATCAATTTCTCCTTATAAATAAATTACAAATTACCTTATTTATACCATGTTACACCTGCGTATTTTACACAATAATTACACACTACACATCCAATTAACTTTTGAAACACCCTGCACATCACCTTACTCATTCCTTTCTCAGGACAAAACTCATAACTAGGTTTTGCAAGGACCAAGCAAGAAGTGCACAAATAGAGTCTTCAAGCATTAGTGGTATCATCCTCGGCTTTATTGCTGAAACTTTTCTCTGTCAACTTCTGGCCTCATTAAAAATTAATTTAAGGCCCAAATTTCAAGAAAGTGCTTTGATCTGTGTCTATACAATTTGTACATGTCCCCACTTGCACAGATATGTAGGAACGCATGCACTTAGTCTCAGATCTGCCAAGACTTATGTCTGTACTAACAGTGCGTAAAATTAAGTCATCCCACTGAAATCCTAGTTTAAGTCTTGGCAGGATCGGGGCCTTAGAGACAACTTTTGGGCTCTGTATTCAGTTTTCACTCAATCAGTGAAACTTCTCCTAAGTAATCCCTGGGTAAGCATGTCCGGAGTTGGCTTATGATCATCCGTTTTATGTACACAAGAAAAATCTGCAAATATGGATTTTTGTACACCAAAAGGGTTGTGCATGCAAACCTTACAGGCCCAGTTTAGGATGTTGCTTCCCTCCTAGAAGACAAACACAGAATGGATTAACAATTTTGACCCTGTCTGTTTTACCATAGATCTCTCTCAGGACGAATTGTCGGAGGAGTCTGGTGGTTCTTCACACTCATCATCATCTCTTCTTACACTGCCAATCTTGCTGCCTTCCTTACTGTGGAAAGGATGGTCTCTCCCATAGAAAGTGCAGAGGATCTGGCGAAGCAAACTGAAATAGCCTATGGAACCTTGGATTCAGGCTCAACCAAAGAATTTTTTAGAGTAAGTAGTCTGGCTTATGGCAGCTTTGTTAAACCTGTATCACAGTTTTCCTAAATAATAAATGCCTCACAAACAAGACCCTGAGTCTGCAAGCACTTCTGCATAGGCTGAACTTTGCTTCTGTTAATAGTTCCACTGACATCAGTATGTAGTATCAGAAGCTTAGAGCAGCAGGGTTAGTTATCTGGGGCAATTTGAGTAGCGAGGCAGCTCCCCTCCAAAAATCCAATATTCCAAGAAGAGTTTTGGCTACCCAGTTTCAGAAGCTGAGCACGCTGTGCAGCAATATAATGGCCAACATAACATTTAAAATAAGACCCTTGGAGCAGTGACTTTGAGTGTTTCACATTGCCAGCAGTCAATAAATAATAATTAGAACTTCCAATTTTGGCCTGTCTTTGCCATAATTAAAAAGCGGGATGGGAAGCATGCTTTTGCATTTTTATACGATAAATTGCATGCTGGAAATATTCAGTATTGTACAGAAATCTGCTCCCGCTCCCCCCCCCCATTTAATAAAACAGTGCTTATGTTTGTGGACCGGGGCTGGAGATTGGATGTGGTGAAAAATAATTTTCAGGATTTTTCACGGGTAAATATCTGTTTAAACTGGAAACCCAGGGCAAGATCTTCCACTGATGTAAATCAGCCCAGGCTCTGGCTCCAAAAGTACATATCTGCATTAGCAGCCTACCATTTAATCACTATATTCACTGCTGTCCATGAGCAGAAGAATTTGGGAGATTGGATCATTTTTCCAGGTTAAGGGGCTGAGGGCCAAACCCCTACTCCTGCAATCTCACCAGAGTAAGGTCAGAGGATCAGACCGCATGTGCTGTATGAGTGGCATATGCTAATAATTGAGTGGAGAATAATGGCTGTATTGTTGTGTTGGTAACAATTAGCTTGAGGAGCTCCTCCATTTTACGGTCAGTGTCAGACATCAGGTATTTAGCAGGAATCCCAGCTGGCCAGGAATCAATTGTTGAAAGAAACGGGAGGTGCCTTCCTGGCCAGGAGCTGAATAGCACGGGCTCAGTGGAAGCCAAAAAAAACCTCAAATTCCTGTAAACCAGATTTTGTATGTTTAAAAAAGTTATGACTTTAAAGTCCCTTCTGGCCTTTCCAGGCCGAATGGCTCTGCAGCGCCTAGAAAGATCAGACATTAAGGCTGTGACGTTTTTATATGTAGAAAAGCTTTCAATGGTGCAAGACTGAGTATTGCCCATATTGGGCAGGTAGCAGTTTGAGGGAAACAGGAGAAGAACCTTTCTCTTGTAGGTTTATTAAAAACTGATGGCTGCTTGAAGCTGCTCAGAGGGTTGGAATGTATCAGTGATCAGAGAGTAGGTAAAGCTTTCAAAGAGGCATGTATTACATGCTCTGCAGTTTATTCTCTGGCTATCCTCCACATGTGTGTATGTGTACAAACATACACACACACACACACACCCAAACATAAATATTATATATAAACCACACACAGTAGTTCCATTTAAAATATTTCAATTTACCACTGGTGGTATCAGATACTACAGTTGCACCCTATTTCATGCATTAAAACATTACAGTGTTGACTCCTCTACCACTATTGATAAATGCTGACCCTTTTAATGGTGACCTGAGTGTGTAAAATTTTGCACAAACCTTTCACCATATACACATACAGACACCATCTGTATAGAGAGAAAAAGCGTTTATGTTTCTGGCAAAAAAGCCAGCCTAGTATTAGAAATCTTTGATTCTATTTGCAGCCACCTCACTTTTCCTACAGGAAGATTCTGCATCTGAATAGCTTGCACCCATGAATATAGAAAAAGGAATTGTTAGGGAGAGTTCTTTATTTTCTTAATAGTCTGATGTAACGTGGGGTTACATGTCAGAGCAAGATCAAAGGAGCGAGTGGTTTTTTTTTGAAAGGATACAAAGTGTAGTAAAAGTCTGAATACTTTATTGTGCTCCTAAGAGTCTTGGGCTGTTCTCTGACACTCTCCTCAAGCGAGGGGAAAGCAGGGCTCTAAAGGAAGATGAGCTATAAAGAGCGGCCGGGCTCTGTGTCGAGGCATGAAGAAAAAATGGGGAGGGAGGAGAGCAGAGCGCCGGCAACAGAGGGAGCAAGCCCAAAATTCTGCTTTATGCTAACAAGGAGGACAAAAGGGGGAACTGGTGGCACAGAACCTGGGCCCGCTCAGTCCTTTGTATGCACTGTGAGTGGCGTTAACCAATGCTTGTCTACATTTGACTTTCCTGGAGAGCTCTGCATTATTTCAGTTGTATTATTAACTTCCAGAGAATAACCAATTTGCGTGTCATGCTGGAGCATGGAACTGATTGTACCCAGTCTTCTTCCATTGATTTGAGAAGGAGAAAAAGAGTATGTCTTTAGGTGAACACACACCTTTAATAAATATTTCATTATACGATCTCTGTTAGCTCCCTAACTTAATAATAATGTTGGCTTAAAACTCAGAATAACTCTTCAAGAAGTTTGCAGTTTCCGAATGCCTGCTTCATAGATTATATTCACTCTGTGCTTTGGGTTTTGTCTACACTAGAAGAACAGGAGTACTTGTGGCACCTTAGAGACTAACAAATATACACTAGGACATTACAGCACTTTTCTCAGCACTGCTGGGAGTGACAGAGGAAGCAGGAGTGTAAGCTGGCCACAGGCTACAATGGTAAAAGTGCCTGTGCCCTATCTCGCCCTCGCCACATTAGCTGCACCGGTGATAGCCAGGAGTGGGGAAAGTGCTAACAATTCCCACTGTAGATGCGTGCAGAGAGAGAGGGGGAGGGTAACAGACTTCGCAGCATTGGACCAGGAAGGAAATAGTCTTAAGACCCATGACAGAAGCGTGCATGTGATGGGTAGTTCTCTTTTCTAAGACACAAAGCTAAACATTTCTCCAAACACTCCTCTCAAAGTAGACTTTACTGGCTGGTGAATGGAGCCAGATGAGCAGTACTGGGGGGAAAAGCCTGGTATTTTTCTCTCTAATGGGTACAGCGCAAGCAAGTTTCATCTGCCCAATATCTTAGCTGCCTTTAAGGGTGAGCTGTGTCCACAGCCCATTCAGTCCTTGGCCTCTTTGCTGAGACGGTTGGCAAGGTTTCCAGTGAGTATTACTTATGTTGGTGTTTTTTGTAACATGGACATTTATGCAGTAGGAACTGGACTGAGGCCAACGACTCATTCCACATGAACAGATGGTAACCACTTTCAGCCACTTCCGCTCTGGGCAGGTTCCAGCCAGGGACCTATTTTATATCGTTGACTATTTCCCCACCCATTGCAATGCCTTCCAGCTAGACACCATCGACGCTTGTAGATCAAAGTGAACTGTAACATCCCTTTTTTCAAATAAGCCTGCTGAATGCTGTCAATCTGACATTTATTTGAAAGTCATCACAGCAGGCCATATTTACCATCTTAACTAACTGGTGAGCTGCTGTTTAAGGATATTCATTACCGCAGAATATCTGACAACCAAAGGAAATGTGTGTTTTTGATGATAGTTGCTTATTTCTGATCAGAAACGTTTTACAATTTTGCAACAATTAGCTTATAAAGGCATCATTTAAATGGCAATCAATGGATTTCATCAATACCCATCATGATCTCAAAGGGCCTTCATCCCTATTGTAAGGGAAAATGAAAGGAAAATCTCTCCTTGGAGATTTATTAACATAAAGACTCGCATTAAAGACCCAAAAATGTTTCTATCTTTCTCTAGAAAAAACTGCTAACCGGGAAAGCAATTTCAAAAATGTAACTTCCTTCCTTTATGGGTTTTATATGTTAGAACCAACATCTTCTAATCCATTCAATTAAAATTTCAATAAATATGACCAGCACATCAAATCAATATGGTGTAAATAATCTACATTCAGCACTGAAAATGTCTAATATCCCATTCTAATTGGTTTCAGAATTCCAATATGCATATATTCCAAAGAGGTGACCTTTACAACCAATTAGTAATTCTTCTGTAAATGGGGCTGTATTGAAACTTCAGTAGAAGAGGAAGTACACATTTCTAGACATTTACCAGTGTAAATTGCTCTTGAATTCGGATGGCTCCTTTTAATTGATCACATGTAACTGCATTAAGGGGCTTAGCAATAGGGTTCTGCAAAACAACCTGTATAGTTTAATAAGTTGTTGATAGGCTGACTATTTAGATTTTATTGAAAATATTTGAAATGGCATAAAGGCGTCACTGCTTTAGTGCAATGTGGTGCTTTACAGAAGAACATACTGCTGTATGGGACATTTAGAATGATCTTGTCATCTTGCGTTTCCTCCTTTTTATAGAGAAACTGAAGGCATCTCATAATCAGACCGCTAAAACTATGTTAAAGTAACGTTTGGGAGCGAACTGGCTGGCTCAAAGGATTGGTAGTGGGCCACAGAATGTTTCATTTCCAGACCACTGGTTTGAATACAATCAAGGAAACTAGTGATGAAAAAGAAGTGTTACCATCTGATGGCTATTTGTTGCCCTGTGTGAAATGACTTGCTGCTCTGCATCCTGTTCCTAATTGCCTATCACAAATGACACTAATTGTCAGCTTTGTTAGATGCTTCGGCTGACAAGCCAAGGATCAAGGGGACACGGTGGCTGAGCTGCCCCCTCCCTCCTACCGTTGGTCCTGGATATTTGTTAGCTGTCGTACAGGGAGGCTGACATTTGTCATTGTGACTGCCTGTGCTGTATCTTGGCTGGGAAGAGTGCGAGCCTCAAGGCCTTTGGAAGTCAAACAGATCAGCCAACACCTCTTCACTTAAACCTAAAATACCTTAAATGTTATTTTTGTTTAAAAAGAAAAGAATGATTCGTATTGGCAAAAGTCAGGAACATCAGAGCTAAGGCTGAAATCCATAGGTGAAATGCAGGGGACCAAAGAACAGGGAGTGAGTTCATACCATCTGAGCTGCAATACATAGACACGAGGGGCGGATTTGCAGCCTTAGCTCTGACACGTCTCACTTTTGT